GTACTAAGACCGACGGAAAATGAAAAGTTGTGATTTTCTAGGCCGATATGGCTAGGAACTATACTCTTATTCCGGCGTAATAATCAAGGAACTTTCCATGGGTGCCATGGGTGCAGCAGGTGCAATGATATTACACAGTGCCTGAAAATAGGCTAACTTCCGTCAACATGACCAACGTGACCACCTGCTTGCACACGGAGCGTGCTGGGGACTATTTTCAGGCGCTGCGTAATATCATTGCTCATCAATATCATTGTAAGATGCTAACGGTCAAATCAGATTCAATGATCTATGCTTCGATCTATGCTTGATTCGAAAATGGTAAAACTGAACTGTTTAACTCTAGGGGAGTTGGAAAATGAGCCTATTTTCAAAAATAGTGGAGTGTTCCTTTAAACTGAAAGTAATCAAAAAAGCCCATGGACAGGTTTTTGCTGACAGGATACAACATTCGGTAAGGGAAACGCAAAAGATTATCATGATATTATCTGTCATAAACGTTATCAAAGCTGTCAAAAACAGTAGCATTTAACACTAGTTCACACAGATCTGTAGAACAAGTAGGTTACAGAATGAAATGAAATACGCATCTACATGTCTGTCTCCTTTAAAGTGTTTATAGTGTATATAATGAGTTGTATTTGTAGGGGTTATCATAACACAATTCTTTAACACTAACCCCCATTAGCCCCCACCCCCTACTATTAAGCTACTGTTAAGACGAGTTACGCACCGAAGTTTAAAGGGGTCATATGATGCAATTTAAATTTTTCCTTTCTCTTTGGACAAACACATTTCATTACACCAAATACACAAAATAATGTTCTTTTTAGCAGCATCATATGACCCCTTTAATACATTTATTGAGGTGTTTGTTCAAAACTTGTTCAAACCTAACCCAATAGTAATAGCAATGCTTAAATTAGCATGCACCACTAATTAATTCTTAATATTTAAGTTATTTTGCTGATGTGTGCACTTGTTAATTTGTTTTGGCTGCCACTACTGTTATTTTTCTGGATTTGGCAATAACAGCTGTAGCTAATTTATTATTTAGTTTCTTTCTTTCTGTTCCCAAATCACATATCGCTCTGTGTGTGGATCAAGAGCTGTGCTGTTAAACAGGCTTCTGTTACCCCATGTGTCTGTCTCTCATGGTTGCTGTAGAGACTGAATGTTGTTGATCACTGTTGATTTACGAGCACAGAAACAGCCGCTGACTGAGTAACTCTAGCCTGTAGTAACAAGCTGTCAGGCATAAGGATTCTTTGTTTAATGGATTGTCTATGATTCTATGGCTTATTCATGCATGTGTGGCCCGTGGCTTATGAAAGAGACATTGGAGACTTTAGGCTGAAGTCTCGATTAGCCCTAAATATACAAATCACTGTATATCATCAGGAAAAGAACACAAGCAGTCAAATTCACTTAGCAAACCATTTGTCAGATGTAACGATGAGTTTTTAGTTTGCTTTATGATGGAAAAGAATAGCTGATTGATTATGTCAGTTATTTTTGGACTAGTTGTACTTCAGTTCTATTAAAGGAATAGTTGTTCCTTTTGAAGTTTGTATGGACAAGAGCCATTCAAAAATTCTCCTTGGAAAATAAAAAGCAACGTGCAGGTTTGAAAGGACGTGAGAGTAAATAAATAATGAGCGAATTTTCGTTTTCGGGAGAACTTTTTCTTTAAGAGAAGATGGAGAGATTGAAATGGAGTCACTTATTTTGGAAAAACAAATAAATGGCATGAACCTGAGCAGCTGCTGTATTACACAATGTCTTTCCAAGGTCACCAACCAGAATATCAAAGAATTCCCACTGCACAGCCAACAAGCCTGGTCTATGTATAAACATCCTCAGAGTTAATGTTCTTGTGCCACACTAAATATGACATTTATTCTCACTAAAAATAAATCTGTGTGTGTGGGAAACAGTCTCTTTTTCATCTTAAGTGATGTTTTCCGTAATTAGAAATTTCCTCTTCCAAACATTAGGCACAGAGATTCTGGAAGACAGCTAAGGGTTGAGCAAACTGGCATTCAGGTGAAGGGACACCTGTTTCATGCTACCAATACACGAGGCAAGAGAGCATCAGGGAAAAAATGCCTTTTACACTTTTCCACTGTTAACAAGCTTCCTGCATTTGACCCATGGGTAAATTCTGGGATTTCCAGACGGAGGTTGTACAACTTAGTAAAGGATGAAGTCCGAGCCACCTTGGATTGGTCTGTGAGGTAATGTCTGACAAGTTGGTCC